AATTGTGGGTATATGCATACACTTAAAACCACAGTACACAAAATAAGAAAATAATTAGAGATACTGTAATGTAATTATTCCAGTAAAATACATATGAATACATGTATTTAAGGACCATAAACAAACATATGTTAACTATATCAGTGCTAATCAAGATGAAATCCACAAATACGCATAAATACAACAACGTTAAACTTACAGCTCGAACCAATAATAGAAAATACTAAAAAAAAATTAAATACATGCAAACCTGACAGCATTAGACCTATCAACCCGGAATTGAAACCTTTGAGATATAGCATAATTCTCCATCACCTCTTTCAATGTAGCCTTATTCTTATACACTTGTCCAACCATAACCTCCCTTTGATTAGTTTTTGAAATTATCAAATCCTTGTGGAGTTCGAACACTCCAATTGCTTCTCCTGAATTGACAAAATCTAGAGCCAGTGTATCATCTGTATCGGAATCGTACCTTTGAACTGCTTCGTCTATTTGCACAATGTCGCCTTGATTTAAACTACCTCCGGAGACAAGTTCTTTTTCAATAGTTGTTATGCACAAAGGATAAATCCCAAATTCTCTGTTCTCTTTTTTCAATTCTACATACACTCTGTAACCCATATCATTGTGTATTTCCATTGGCGTGCAATTTTCTTCTACTTTGTATTGAATTTTAATGGACTTTGAGCTCAAATCTTTGCCCAGTTGATTAGAAATTGAAGCAACCAAATCATTAAAGGACGCAGACTCCTTTATCAGTATTCCCTCAATTGAAAAATTGATGTAATTGCCCTCATCGTTCCACTTGCTAGAATGACGCAACAACACTGTTAAACTTGCCATATGTATAAAGGAACTATACCGTATTTTGTATATAATTTGTATCCATCTAATTTTCCGTGGTTGAAATAATATCTGCGAACAGAGAAGAGGGGAAGTGAATGGAAGAACTTCAAACAGATGTTGCTCTGCTTTTCGCTACTTTTTTTTGAATTGTGTATGGCAGAATACAGATTAATGGGTACTATTTTTTGTTCGTTGAGTTAAATTAGGAGAATATCATGTGATTTGATTTCCTTTCCGTTTTTAACTAGTTTAACTTTCCAGATTTTACGCAGATACGTTACTGTATTCACGATAATACCGCGTGAATACAGTTAAATACATATCAACCTTAGCTGGAATTCCCTTTTTAACGCCTATTTTTTCTATTGTATTAATGAATACAATAGTTTAAATACATAAAATACATTGTATAAAAACATAAAATGTATCTATAACACGTAAAATAGCAAAAGGTATCTATAAAAGCTAATTAGACCTAAAAGATGGTGCTTTATGAAAAATTCTCTATTTAATTTGGGGCATTGATTAATTCGAATTTGTATCATGTAAAATTCATTAAAGTGGAAATCACTTTTTAGAAGGAAATTTTTTTCATTCCAAATACTCGAACTGAATACCTCTAATTAAAAAAGAAAGATCCCATCCGTCCCACCACAACTATTCTGGTGAGGCCCCAAATCTTGTAAGAAAATATTGAGTATTTCAAAGTCGAAAAGTTAAATGTTTTATATATTAAAAAAAAATTATGTTTATCATTAGAAAATGAGTAATACACTTTTAAACTCCATTTTTTATTTGTTTTTTGTTTTTTCTCAGGTTCTCATCATTGCAATTAGTATATTGAAACATAAAAAAAAATTAATATAAAGTTATTAATTTCTTGAATCAAGTTCTATTACCTAATAAGATCAATAGTGTCACATGAAAGAATAAGTGGTTTATGCAAAAATTATTAAAAAATTTATTCTCAAAAAGCTAGAAAAATCTATTTCAAATAAAAATATATAGGAATTATTATTCTTTTAAATAATGCCTCCCGTTAAAGTGTGGCTTTAGACCACCAAACCTGTTGAGCCGCCCCGGCCCCTCCTCCTCTCCCTCCCCCACACATTTTCTTTTCCTTTTGACGCGTACTCGGTACTTCTTACAATTCCTTGAGATACAAAAAGGTTATCTACACGAAAAACTGCTTCGCTTGGGACATCCAATTTCATGAACCCAAAACCAGTGCCTTACAATTCTAGTGCCACAAGGAGCGATCTGCTTCCACCTTTTTTCACAATAGAACCACTTCTTGAAATACATCTTGAAGTAACTCGACAACTATTTACAATTTGAAAATGAGCTGAACTTATAAACCTGTTATGTGCAGGCTCAAACAATATTCATTCACTAGAATCAATTTCTCTGTTTTCGTACAGCAGTATACCAGACTACAAAAGGGAGGAAAAGTAGGAAAACAGAGAGGTGGAAAGGTAGAGGACAAGAAGATTAAAATACTGGTTGCATTTTCTTTTTCTTGTCTTTTTTTGTTTCATTTTCTTTCTGATGAGTGGCGAGGCAATATGAGGGGAATCCACTCAACCCCACATCACAAGCACTACTAGTGCCATGACACTCCAGGTGGACTAGACCGCGAGCTTGCCTCAGCCAGTGAAACAGCCATGGCTAACATCATCTGCTCTTCAAAATTCTCAGGAACTATTGAACCGGTGGTGGGTTGCACAGGGAATGAAGCATCATCTTCCATTTCGTCAGAGACTGCATAACTAGTTCCAACTTCGGCAACCATGGACCCGTGATCAGCCCATTCACCATCGTCCCTCGTTATTTCCAGCTGCCTTTCAGGTGACGCATGCATGGTGCTCTCAGCATGAGAGTAATCATCATTCTCTATCTCCTCCCTATTGGAAAACCTATCACAAGCAAGATGCTCATTATACGATGACATGCTCCGATCATAGTTACTGGACTCTCCACCCATTTGCTGGCGCTCAGCAAGGGCTGCAATTGCACAAGCAAGACCACCAGAAGGAGAGGAAGATGATCCTGAAGCGGCAGGGGTGTTGACTGCTGGGACACCTCGATGATCCGCTGTATATTGTTCTGATGGACCAACATCACTGTAGTCCATAGTTCGATTTCTGCCATTCTCCTATCATGTCATCAGTTTCGTGTGGAAAATTAAGTGCTATGCCATTAAATATAGTTGAATAGCGCAAAAAGCACGACCAAAATTATCATCCCAAAGATGATCAGATGTTAAAAGTGGCAATAGGTGACACAGCGAAAGAAAATAAATGATATCCCATGCCACAAAGTTAAATATTTTCTGCCATAAGATTTTCAAAATGTGAAAAGATGAATACCAGAATTCAAAATTAGCAAGATTTACCCCAATAGAAAACAAGAAAATGCCTGTTTCCATCAAACTCGAGCTGAGAGAAAGATGACACTTTGCTCAGAAAACAGAAATCAGACACTTCAATTAAAGAAAAGGGGTACGTCGGACAAAGGATAGGAAACTCTTAACTTTTCACCTAATGCTGCCTCCCCGCAACAAGAAAAGAAAATGACCAAGAAAGAAGAAAAAGGATAGTGAATGGATAATTTACCTGTATGGATAACCATATGGCTTCCATAACCATTATATCCTCAAGATCCAAGTCAAAGTCATCCTCCCTGTGTCACATATACAGGAAACCAGGTAAGACCATATATGTAGATAAGCTAAGTGTTTGTGGCAACATCAAGCACTAAAATTCAATCAGAAATTATTGCAAACAGAATATGAATTTCTTTCTTCTATCTATTGCTTCAATAGATCCAATGTGGCTCGGCCCTTCCAGCTTAGTGCACCGGGCTGCTCTTTTTATTGTTTTTTATTTTTCTTTGACAAACGTGGATAACCTTACTCACAAAAAGTTTGACATAAAAGCAACAAAACCAAGCTATACCTTTAGCTCTCTTGAAGTTTAAAAAATGTGGTATGCTATAGCTGGGAGCTTCAACTAATGGGCTGTCCTTTTTATTGTTTTTCATTTTTCTTTGACAAACGTGGATAACATTACTCACAAAAAGTTCGACATAAAAGCAACAAAACTAAGCTATAACTTTAGTTCCCTGACATCGACGAGACAATCATGGACCGGTTTACCAACGACAAGTTTAAAAAATATGGGACACTATAGCTGGAAGCTTCAACTAATGGGACAAAATCTCATCTTTCATCTCCACTAACTACTTAAAAATTGTTTAATACAATCCACATTTGCATTTGGTTGAGGAAATGGGCGATTGTCTCCTTATGTGGTCTTGGCAATCTCATCACATAAGCTAGCTTTTGGGGTTGAGACCGCTGAGCTAGGCCCAAATTCCATGTGCATTTTCTTAACATGGTATCAGAGCTAGCGTGTGAAAGTGAAAGTTCTCGCGGTACAATTACAGGCAACATTCAAAAGAGATGGTAGTCATCGCGCATTCTCGGGGAAGCATAAGGTTTATCCGCTCAATCTTCAGTTTTAGAAGGAAGAGAAAATAGTCATCGCGCATTTTGGGGGAACCATAAAGGTTGTCCATGCTATCTTCAATTTTCAAGTTTTCGTCAATGTTGTGAAGAAACCAACACCACCACCATAAGACGCATCACCTTCCGCAAGCTGAACCCAACAAGCGTCATCAAAAATTGAGGTTGCATGCTCTGGCGAGATTCCTAATTCCCAGCACGTGGTCAAACGTAGCGAGTGTGAGAGCCACTTTCCCGCCGTCTCCGAGACTCCGACTCTGATATTTGCTTCTTTGGAGCAACCTACTAATTCTGACTGGCCCATTAACTTTCTACTAATCTCATACCGTTGAATTAGGTTCAACAAGCCCAAGCAACTTTTCCATCAACTTCATCCTCAGAAACACAACGCATTTGATTTCAAAATAACAATCACTCCCCACGCCACCTACCCAACCCAACCCCATCCAAATATTTTGACACTTGTGTTTGTTACATGTTGACTATTCTCAATGTACTATCAACTGCTCCACAAGGCTGCCATTCATTCACATTTCTTACAATCACTTAACCTTTTAACTATTAGCAGTATCGAACAAATAAGTTGGATGATAATCTTTAATCCCCAGACCCCACTTTGTCGGATTTTATTGGGTCGTTGTTGTTGTTGTTGTTGATAATCTTTAACCCTCTCTTTGCCTTGTACTAAAATTCCACTTCGTGCTTGAAGGTTGTAGGAAAACTGATTTAAAAACAAAAAAATAAACAAGCTGGAACTAACAAATAGATCACTTCAAAAGCCTAGAGTCCTCAAAAAGCTACTACATACTAGATTAAGTATCTTGGAGGAGCTTTTTGTTTCAATTTGACCTGTATTATATAGTTCTCTTTGCCATAAATTTTTTTTTTATAGTACTACATGTCATAATTCTTTTAGTAAGGCTACATATGTTATATTTCTAAAAGTATTTCATTAAAGAAGAATACCTTTGTACTTTACCTATCACTAATTTTTCAATCATTTTCCTCCAACGTCTTGCATTTCCAGAATCTTTCACTCATTTATACTTTAAATTTCATTTTCAGAAAAAATATTATTAAGATACCTAGTTTGTGCTGTCATTTGTCTTACATCACTGCGATACAACAAATTTGCATGACATAGCATTTTCAACTTCTGAATCCATCTACTTTATTGCCTCTTTGAGCCGAGGGTCTCCTGGAAACAGCCTCTCTGCCCCTCGGGTAGAGGCCCCTCGGGTAGAGGTAAGGTCTGCGTACATATTACCCTCCCAGACCCCACTTGTGGGATTACACTGGGTTGTTGTTGTTGTTGTTGAATCCATCTACTTTATTGTAAGGAATATTAATTAATTTCTAGTCTCTCTGAAAATTGGCTAACTTCAACCCTCATATAATTTGAGAAAGATATTACACAAATAAATAATATAAGTTCAACGATACTTTTTTGACAGTAAAAGATATGTTCCTTCATCAACCCTTTTCATGATAACCCCTTAAAACCACCACAAACTCCAAACTCCTAGTGAGTTAAAGGAAAACCTGCAAGTCGATGTATCAAACCAAATATTGGCGTGATGACTATTTTTTTTTGAATTGGTAACTATTGTATATATTATAACAATCAGTACATAGGTTGCACTGAAAACCAAATTTACATAGAGAGAATTTATAGATATTCTAATTTGAGACCTAGCATGATCCTAGAATGTCTATGATTGTCAATGTATCTTCTGCGTACATCTGTTTGCACCAAAAACAAAATAGAAGAATACAATTGAGTTTGATCTTCTGCATTGA